GTATTATGAGTATAATATTTGTAGTTGGCTTTCTTTTCACTATTTAATGGTGTCTGATGAACATTAAGTTCTCAATTTTAATGAAATCAAATTTATCAGTTTTTTTCTTTCCTATTATATAGTGCTTTTGAGGTCTTGTTTAAGAAATCTTCATCTACTCTGATAACCTTGCATTCTGAAAGGAAGGAGGTCAAGAGAGCCTCAGTCTTTAAAGTTTAAACAAACATCAAAGCACAAGGTTCCAGCCTTTGATCTTACACTCCGGGGTTCTAATTTCCCATAATAGTATGAGCAACCCTCAAATGCAATATGGTAGAAATTGCCTGGCTTGTACAAAAGGCAAGGAGTTATATTTAATTTGGTCTTTGCAGAAGACGGATTGGCATAGGACCCAGACAATAGACATTTAATCTAGAGCTACCCAAAGCCAAACAAGACCTAAGAGCAACTTCCTCTGATAAGTGTGAATTTGCACACACTGCCCATCTTCTGATGTGTCATTTACATAGGCACCATCTTATAAGGTAAGTCTTTGTAGCTTTCTGGCTTGTCCTAGTTTTATTATTATTAAGTAGGAAAGAACCACTCTCTCTATTATCCTTGTCAAAACAAGACATTGTTACCTGTCACAGACCTAATAGTTTCTGACAGAAGCTAAAAGGTTAGAAGGGAAAGAGATGGTGGCTGAGCAGACAGCTAAAATAGGCAATGAAAAGGGTGAGACAAGCAGAGTGACAGCAGGGAAACTGCTTTTCATGAATTCTTTAGACATTAGAAGGCCTCAGTTCTGAAAGCTGTTCAGAGGACACTGCAAAAGTCTAAGCAAGATGTAAGTAGATGTTGGCAGTGACACAGGAGACTGGTTTTGAAAAGACATCAACAAAAATAATGTAAATGAAATATGACACCTTCTTTAATTATGCAATGTATCCTTGTATATGTATTCTCTCCCTTAGACAATGATACTCAGGTTTTCTTCCCTATGGACCACTCATCATTACTAAAATCTCTAAAGCTGACCTTTCCAACTCCGGTGTCTAGAGAGTGAGGCCAGTAATGTAAATGAGGGGCTTTACTGGTATTCAAACATCAAGAGGTTGTGGGACCACTTCAAACATCAAAGGTTAAAGGAAAACCTGTAACTTAATTTTTACTGTTACCATATGAGAAAAAAGTCCAATAATACCAGATCTTTTGACTTTTTAAAGAAATGTTAGAAATTACAGTTTTTCCATATAATTTTCCAAACTCTATTATACCATGTAATCCAAAGTATCTTTGTGGGTTGAATCTAGTCCATGGGCAGCTAGTTTCCAACTTCTGTTCCAAAGCTTCACAGGAAAAATAAATAGAACATACAGGTTTCCAGGGTGAGAAAAGCCAGAAACTTGGGAAGCCTGCATGTAGACAGAGATTGAGCCATGAGACAGTGAAAGGAGGTTAACTTTTAAGACTAAGTAGTCTAAAGGACTCAGATTGCAGAGTTAGATAAAAGCATACTGGAAAAAAATCTGACAGGAATTCTGAAAAAGTTCTACTAAAAGGTGGCATAGGTGAAAGCAAACTAGAATGTGCAGGGACCCTATTTAAGAAAAAAGGGAAGAGGGGAGGAGTATGCTGTATCTATACACAAACACAATTACATACAAACACATGTTATTTCACCTTTCTATGCCTTAATTCCCTTATCACTAAAATAAAAGTAATAAAACATACTTTATAGGACAGTCATTAGGATTAAATAAGGAAGTTATTCATATAATTGCCATTACCCCCTGGTAATAAGAGGCAAAGTAACTTGCTTATGGTCATATGGCTATTAAGGCATACTGCCTGGATCTGTATCTAGGTTGCATGGCTTCAGAGCCTACATGCTAAGCCATAAACCTCTTCTGCCTCCCTTCCATTGCTAGGCTTATTCTTAATCTGTACAATGAGGAAGTCAGATCAGATGACAGCTAAAGTCTTTTTACTGCTTATACTTTATTCTGCGATACAGCCCCCTAATCAGCTTATTTTAGGTCAGCAGTGGGACAAAAGTGACTCTGTTCTCATGCCTACAATTATACTGAAAGCCTGGTAAGGAACCACAATAGATTGTAAACCTACAATCTTCAGGACACCAAGCAATTCATTCTTTTGGGGCCAAGGGTCTCTAAGAGAACCTGGTAAAAGCTCTCTCGAGTTCCAAGAAAAAAAATCCCGTATATACCAGCTGAGACAGATGAGCATACTACTTTATCTTCAATTACAAGTCCATAAAGCCTCTAAAATCTCTCCCTGTACTTTAAGTATCCCTGAAATAGATATCCTGTTCCAGGCTTGTCCTCCCAAGGGACTCAGATTTCCCCCAAGAGCTGGGTTGGGTATCTAGGCAGCTATGCTCAAGAGACAAATTATCAAATGTGACTCAGCATAATTAATCCTACATGGAAAAGACAAAAGGCCCTCTCTCCCTCCTCCATACCAACATGTACTGGGGGAATTCAAACACAGAAGAGCTGTAATTTAATATCCAAACTCCAGTGGATATGAAACTAAAAAGTGTTCTAAGACTATTTCATTCTTCTTTTCTACCTGATACCCATAAAACTTTAGAACATTAGAAGTGTTGAAATAAACGGGTAAAAACATCTTAGTTCCTATGGAACTGTGCTCCTCCATTTACTCCAAAAACAGAATCAGTCATGATTGCCAATTAGCCTTATTAGATGACTTTTCTCCCATATGGGCTTTGAAAACTACAGGTTACCAAAGAAACCTCAAAACCTCAGTCATAAATGAAGAAGAATTTAAAATAAGAAGATACGGGGTTTTTTCCAGAAGACTATCAATGTTTAAATGTTGGTAGGGGGTCTGGAGAAACGCATGGCCTCAAATATAACTGGTAGGTTTGTAAGTCAATATGGCCTTTGGTGGTAGAGGTACAAGTTAGCAATTTCTATCAAAAATTTTAAAACACACCAGGTGTGGTGGCATGTGCCTGTAATCCTAAGTGTTACTTAGGAGGCTGAGGCAGTAGGATAGAGAGCTCAAGGGCAGCCTGGGCTACACCGAGGCATCCTGTTTCAAAAACAACAATAAAAAAAGTTTAAAAGCAAATATTCTTTGACACAATTCCTTACAGATATTTTACAAAAGTAAGCCAAAATAAATGTGCATAAAGATGTGATGTGTCTTAGAAATTTTAAAAAGAATGCAACCAGGTCAAGTGCAATAGCTCATACCTATAATCCTAGCTACCCTGGAGGTGGAAATTTGGAGGATTATGGTCCAGGCTAGCCCAGGCAAAAAATTAGCAAGACTCCATCTTAACCAATTAAAGTTGGGCGTTATGGTGCATACCTGTCATCCCAGTTACAGAGGAAGAATAAATAGGAAGGTGACGGTCCAGGCCAGCCTGGGCATAAATTTGAGATCCTATTTGGAAAATACCTAACACAAAAGGGCTGGAGATGTGGCTCAAGTGAAAGAGTGCTTGCCTAGCAAGCATGTGGCCCTGAACTGAAACTACCAAAAAGAAACCATGTTCAATGAGGAGGTTAGTGGAAGAGAGGCCCCTACAGTAGGAAACTCCTGGAGGAGACTGGAAGGGAATTACCACTTGCACTCTTCTCAAGACACTGCTGGCATGAATAACTCAAGCTTTCCACTGAAGATAATAGCTTAGTGCCCTACCCCAGTTGTTAGCTATTCTTTGCAATTATAAATACAGGAGACAGTAGAATGGGAGAAGGTTGACATAGTTAGTCCAAATCCTGCCTTTTGTAATATAGATAAGGCAGAACACTTGTTCTAAGTAGTCTGAAGGGACAGGCAATACTACTGCTGAACCTAGAAGATGGTCTTCTTACAGACAGCAAGTGTCCTCAGGCACAGCCTAAAGGCACAGTAGAGGGTCTGCCCCTACATGCAATGGAAAAGCAAGAGCCAGGTACATATGCAACAGAGAGGGCAGGAGAAATCTCTGCTACGCTGTGAAGCCTCAGGGACCCCTGCTCAACACTAGGGACACCCTTCTAAGCAACACAGATTTGCAGTAATAGTTCCAACTCCCCCTGACTGCCCCATGAAGACAATCAGCTAGGAGTAAAAATCAAGCAAGATAATCCTCTGTGCTTAACCACCTCTTTCATCTGAGGCCCATGAAATAAATTATAGCCTTGCTTACTTTCCATGACAATTTTCTGCAATACTGCTTTACCAAGTGGGAAATTACTTCTAAGTAAGATTGCCACAGGAGTTTACTGTCTTTTATAAAACAAGGCCAACTTTATGTACATATGCCATAATAGGTCATCCCTCCCTCAGGATTTAAGGAACACGAAAAGTTTCTTACTCATACCTATTCCCACATCCCTGAAATTCCCTCATTAGTACTTCATATCACAGGATCAGGATTGTCCTGAGTGTACTTGTTTAATAATGAACAGAGAAGGAGAAACACATTAGGTTCCTAACACCATAGTGTATTGGCTCTTAACCTTTTGTTAAGTCATGGATCCTTCTCAGAAACTGGAGAAAGCAAACAAACTTCTTCTCAAAAAAAATACATGAATGTATAATATATAATTTCCATGCAATTTTGGGGGCTCACAGTTCTCTTGAAGTCCATCTAGGAACCATCTCCAGCCTGGGGTTAAAAAACACTAGCTTAGTAGCAATCCATTTGGCAAGTCCTCCCCCTAGAGCATGAGCCCCTGTGCATATGGAGAAGGCTAGGTCTCAACAGAAAAGGCAAGACTGAAGGGTGGTTCTCACTACTTCATGCAACTGCCCAGAACTGACCCTATGTTTAGTCCAGATTGCAATTTATGACTCCCTCTCAACAAGGAGTTGAGAATGAGCTTGGAAATAGGCTCTCCTGGCTTCAGAGAAGCAGGGCACGTTAAGAGATGCCCAAATGAGACTGGCTGCCAAACAGGTTCTCACAGCACTTGCAGGCTGATCACACTGAAGGAGAGAAAAGTTTGCACACCTTATGAATCAAAGGGACTCACCTCTGAGGTTTTCGGATATCCCAGAGTCCCACTCCTTCCTTTGAATTGGCTGTGGCCAATAACCTGGGCTCCACGGGGTTAAACATGACGCTGTGAAAGGCTGATGGATAGTTTGCCAGACAAAAGGGTTCTGTAAAAAGAGAAATTATGATCAGTTCACTCCAGACACTTTGGGTCAGTGGCAGGCAGATGAGCAAGAATATGAATGCCCTTTTTAATAACCACCCTGAAGGGCCACAACCCAACCTGTGCATACTTCACTGGGCATCCTTCTTTAAGGTCTCCCTGAGCCCTGCACACACTTTCTTCATGCAGAAAGTCTGACAAATTTTAACACGTTTAACTAAATTTTAAATCAGGAATCTATACAGCACCTGAAAAGGGGAAGGTAAGCTGTCTTACAGCAGTAAAACTCAATTTCACAGAAGCTGAAAAACTTTGCAATCAATTCCTAGTGGAATTATTATACCTTTAATCCAAATGTATTAGTTCAAAAAATTGTATATTTTAAACTGAAAGTAGATTTAACAGAGACAAAGCAAAACAGTGAAAAAATTAAGGCAAATCAGTAGTGCAGTTTTCCCTTATGGTCCAAAATGCTCCCCAAATGTCTCAGTGTAGAATTTTATGAACGAATATACAAACATATACATACATACATACATACATACATACATACATACATATATATATATACACAGTTGGGTGTGGGTGTGGTGGTGCATAACTGTAATCCCAGCCCTCAGGAGGCTAAGGCAACAGGATCACAAGTTAGAGGCTGGAGTGGGCTACAAAGCAAGATCCTGTTTCATAAAATAATAAATAAAATAAACACACAAAAAAAACCTAGTACTTTTTCTAACTTCCCTTGCATCCAGCCAGTTCCTAGTCAAGTTCACCTAGAACTCTTGCACCCCTCTGCATAAATTTTTAGGTTCCAGATAAGGAAATAATCAGTTTGCTACCTAGAAGGACATACATCTATGGAACCTAATGAGTCAAAGACAGAAAGCACCTCTCTGTGATTTTCATGCAGTCCTGTACAGGGCTCTAGGTAGGTAAAGCACTCAGTCATCTCAACCATCAAGCAGGGCAGACAAGGGAAAATCATACCTACCAAGCACACAGAGTCTCAGCCACAGTGCTATTTGCTATAACCAATCCTGCCTGTCTCTATGGACAAGCTTCTCTGAAAGCCTGAATCTTAGTAATGAGCACAGCCCAGCATGTTAAATGCTTAAAACATGGGAAAATAAAAGGACCCAGATTCTACGAACAAAGGAGGCAGGAAAGCAACTCTTACATAGGCATGATTGTTACAAAGCCAAACTAAGACGGGAGATAGGCATGCCAATGGAAAGAGGGTGGCACTGGAGGAAGGAACCTGTGAAGACAGAATTACAGAAAGAAATCCCTCTGCATGAAATGAGCTGAGAAGATATATTTCCTTAAAAGCTTCAGAGAAAGTAAACTTCGTTTCACATGTCAGAGACTGAAAGAGCACATTTGGAGAAAGCACTCACTGACAATTCCCTTTGCACAGAGAGACTCTGACACCATTTTATAATCCTAACATAGGTAAGGTGAGGTTCTGTGGAGTTTTTTCAACAAAAGATCAAACCTGCAACTATGGCCACAAGAAGGTGCTAGCACCCTCATTCTCTATAAACATCTAAGAATACATGTATGTCTGCAACACACAGACCTGGCCCTTGGTGGCTATTTATACAATGAGGCACCACATCTTTTGCTCCTAGGAACCACTAATCATCAAGGTACAAGGTGTGGGAATCTCCACAAACCCTTGGTGGTTGGGGAAGGGATGGCAAAAGTGCCCCACTTCTGACTACTTATAGCAGGATGGGACCTTCAAAGACACACATCTATGCCACATGTGAGACTCTTGTGTTTCCTCTCATCACTCATACTCAGACATTCAAGACATAAACTGAATCTGCAATGAACTTGACATTAAACTGTTCAACACAATCCAACAGTGACCCTACCTCCATGGGGTGACTCTCGGATGTCCCAAATGAGAACCCGGCCATCATCTGAGGAGCTGGCAAAAATGTTGTCATTCACAGGGCTCACTGACAAGCCATATACTGCATCTTCATGAGCAAACACATCCAAGGTCTCACTGCTAAGAAACAGAGCAAGAGAGGCACACAGGCACATAGTGCAGAGTCCCGGCCCTCCTGTACTTAGTGTGCGGTAACTTTCATTCCCAGAAGAAAGGTGATCTATCCAAGCTCTGAAGAATATTTCCTAAAAGGTCAGTATTCAACTTCTGAAATATATACCCACATATACCCACACACAATATTAAAGGTAGTATTTTGTAGGTTTCATAATTTTCACATTAAGTGAGCATATTTAAAAGTGACTCGGCAGGTGCACACCTATAATCCCAGCCCTTGGGAGACAGAGGCAGAAGGATTTTGAATTTGAGCCCAGCCTGGGATACATAGCTAGACCCTGTCTCAAAAACCAAAACCAAAAACAAAACAAAAAAAGTGACCCAATAGCTGAGTTCTGTGTTTTTATTTGTTACAGAATACAACACTTAAATCCAGATTTGAGAGTAGTACTTGATTTCCAAAAGACAAGGGAAAGCTTTAAAGCAGCCAGATCTGAGGACAGGAGAACAGAGAGAGCAATGAAGAAGAGGATCTCTAAACAAACTGGCATGGTGATCAAGAGCATAGCTCTGAGTCAGACATTTCTAAGTTCAGATCTCAGCATCACTTGGTCTTAGTTAACTAACAACTCTGTGCTTTCATTCCCTCATCTATAATGGAGATCACAATAGCACACCTCATAAAATGATTGTGAGGGTCAATGAATTAATCATACAAAGTACTTAGAATACAATTTGGCACATGATAAAGCTCAATAAATATTAGCTATTGCTACTATTAAATAGTACCTCCTTTCACCTTCCAATCTCTCTTCAAATTTTCACCTAAAAACTACAATTTCCTACCAACTTTACAAAATTTCTTTTTATAAATCAAAATTTTATTTCAAAAACTATTATAAGAATCCTTTCAAGGCTGAGAGTGTGGCTCAAGTGGTAGAGCACTTGCCTAGCAGGTGTAAGGCCCTGAATTCATACCCCAGGACTGCAAAAATTTTTTTACTAAAAAAACCAAGAATTTATTCTTGTTATAAATTGTTATAACTGGTTGGTTCCATGTTATTTTCTTCAAAAACTGAAAACTATTTTGGACTAAACAGAGATTTTCCTCTCTTCATAAAAAAAAAATATGAATCTTCACACACCAATAATCTATTTACCTTTCAACATCATGGAGGATAACCTGCTCATCATTTCCTGTAAAGACAAAAAAAGCAGACATTTGTTAATTCCTAAAAGTTGGTCCCAATCTGCATAACAATGTAACATTTTAAAATTTTCAGGGAAAGTATCATCACAGTCATTATTAATACAGATTAGGAATATTAGCTAGAAAAAAGATTTATAAAAATAATTTAAGAATAGGACAGTATATTATAGAGCATTTAGAAAACATAATAGCAATAGACATAATGAAATAACAGTTCCCAAAATGTATTAGCCAGGATATTAGGCAAAAAAACTTTGGCCATTTAAGGAAGAGTAAATGATCAAATAATTCATTCTTTTTTCTTTCCTCAAGCAAAACAATCGTTAATTGTGAGATCTGTAATAAAATCTAATATTTCTAAGCGTCAGGTGTTTACCTGAAAACAGAGATAACAGTTCTATGTAGGCTACTATGAGGATAGGAGCCTATAAACCCAAACCAAGTAAGACTGAGTGAGCACTTGAAAAGCCCCCAATAAATGTTTACTATTATTCCTGTCCTCATCATCTTTTATAGTACTAAAATCTGACGACTATGTCATTCTACATGATGGGAACATTTTTTTCCACATTTTTCTCTTGCATTTCTCATTCCATTAAGGAATCTAAAAATACTATATTCAATGATAGGCTTTCAAATGGTTTATATAGTCAAAAAAATTAAAACCTGCATATAAATACCCTGATCTACACTTAAATACACAACCAATAGGCAGGCAGAAAGCAAAAGTCGCAGTAAAGGTCTGGCCAAGGCCATACTAAATTTCAAAGTCCCAGCTGTAAGTTCCACTGTGGGTACATCACCAGTGACATAGGCAAACTCATATAAATGCCTTCCAGGTGTCAGGCACCGTGCTAGGTACTAAGGATGAGAATCTTCTTTGCCTGGTCCTTGAGGAACTGATACTTCAACTGCACAAACTAATAGCAACAAGATGTGTTCTATAGTGATGTGGTTTAGCTCTGGGGACAATTATTTCCTTCACGTGCAGGGAAAATGTACACGGGAGAATGAGATATTTGAAGAGATACTCAAGTCTCAACTCTTACCAATGGAAAATATATGGGAACAGGTGGAACTGGGCAGCTAAGGTGGAAGAACAGCCTGAGCAAAAGGCACAAGGGTAAACAGTGCACTGTAGTGTATACCTAAGATGGCAAATAGTTTAGAGAGCTACAGCACATGTTGATGGCAAGGGAAATGAGACCACACAGAAGATCGGGGTTTAGACTTTATTCTGTGGACACTGTTGGGTCAAAGGTTTGCCTAGTAAAATCTTTATTTTTAAATAAAAATCTGTGTCAGCAATGAGTTGAAGGAGGGCTAGAGGCTTGTAGCAGAAATCACAAAAGGCCACTGCAAAGTGGAGACCTAAGATAAAAACCTGCCCTAGGACAGGGCAGTGGGTATAAAAAAAGAACAGAAAGTAAAGGATGAATATGAGAGCGTGCAAGATAGCTCTAACAGGCCTTGGAGACAGACTCCATAGAAAGAAAGGCAAGTTGGAGGATGGCTTCAAGATTATTATTAAGAGAAATGACCCAAGCCTTGTATGCACATATGAATAATAAAATAATAATAAAAAAAAAAGAAAGGCAGGTTGGAGGATGGCTTCAAGATTACTATTAAGAGCTGGGGATGTGAATCACTGGTACAATACTGACTTAGCATGTGCCAGGCCCTATAGTCAATCCCCAGCACCACACACACACAATTGCTATTAAGATGCACCATGTAAAATGGCAAGTATGTCAGCCATTTCTTTTATATTGGCTTTAGACTTGTTGCTTATTTGGGGAAGGGGAGCAGTGATGGGGACTGGACCCAGGGCCTTGCACATTCTATACAAGCACACTATCACTGGGCTCTGTTCTCAGGCCAATTTGTTGGATTTAAATTGTTTTTGGAACATAGGCAAATATCCAGTAGGGTAATCTGCAGCTCAGGAGAGGTTAGGGCTAGAAATTTGGTTGTTAGAAAGGAAGTGGTTGATGGGAGCCATCACCAGGAGGTTGGCTTGAATACTACTCGCTTCAATCGTACCCTAATAGAATGCCTTACAAATAGGAGTCATCCATAGGTCATGACATCAAACTGAATCACAGTCAACTCACGTCTTTAAAAATGCAATAAAATAGAATAAAAAACAAAATCAAGTGTATACTGCATAAAGTTAAGTATTATTTTAAGTGTGTGTGTGTGTGTGTGTGTGTGTGTGTTTCTGTGTACCAAGAAAAGTATTCTGTCAGAGAAAGAAAGTGAGGGAGGGAAGGGGAGAAAGCACAGAAGGAGGGAGGGTGAGAGGAGTGAAAGAGGAACAAACCCTATCTTGCACACCTAAATTGCTGTAATACACAGAAGACAAGCTATTGGGAAACCAGTAATTCCATAGTTCAGTAAGATTTATGAGGAAAAAAATGAGTTATTTAATTTCCCAATATGGAATCTCTATCCTTCTCACCTCCAGAGAATACTTTGGTGTTCCCACTGTTGAAAGCCAGGCAAAAAATGTTGGAGTGGTGCTCTCCTTTCAGCTGTATGGGCTTGACCCTGGAATGGATGGCTTGCTCCATGTGCCATAGCAGAACCCGACGGTCATCTCCTCCTGGAGAGGGGAGTAAGAATCTAGGATTAAAACAGCTAACATTGCAAGGTTGACAAATTTTGCCATCCTCGACTCCCATCCTTTCAAAAACTGTACCTCCCCAACTCTACATGATTCTACCGAGGCACATAAACTCAGCACATTCCCTCTTTAATCACAGGGACATGACCTCAGTCTACTCACTCTTCTGGGTATAACACCCAGGAATTATATCTTAAAAAGATAATACAGAAACTGAAAGGAATAATCAGTGATATTGAGACACCTTCCCCAAAGCCATCTGTTCCTGTCTTTCTAGAAGCCAGGTGTTGAACTTAAAATAATTATTTCTAGCATAAGTTTTCAAAATAATCTTTTGATGTAATCTCATTGACTATTGGACAGTGTACAAATGACAACTAAGGAATTACCTAATCTAGTAGGAGCTAGATGGAACAGAGTTCTCATGAAACTTGGCCTAGCTCTTACTTCTGCATAACTTTCAAAAGACTTGAATTATGAATGTAATATTACATGACAAGAGCTAGTGGCAAGAGAATCAGAATATGTATGTTTTATATATTCACAGACATATGACAGACTGTTAATAAGGGTTACTTTTAGGGAATAGAATTAGAAAAGAGAAGTAGAGGAAAAATTTTTTTATTTGTTAATGTTTGTATTTTTTTTTTTTTATTTCCTATCATAGGAACTGAACCTAGGACCTTGTGCATGCTAGACAGGTGCTCTACGACTGACATATACCTTTAATTCTGTTTGCTGACAAGCCAAAAATATGTTCTCTTCCTAGTAAAAGAATTAAGTTACAACAGCAGCAAACCAGCAAACCATAGCAAGCTCTGTACCTCTTTCTCTCCTCCTCTATTTAAAAAATACAATAACCAGGCTGGGATGTCACTGGGACGTAAAGTCTGTGCTTAGCATCTGTAAGACCCTAGGTTCAAGCCCCAGTATTACATTGAAAAAAAGATACAACAGTAACAAAAGGTCATGCCATGAAGCATTAAGTCAGATCTCTAAAAGCTAAGCAAAGTCGGACACAGTGGCAGATACCTTTAATCCCAGTACTTGGGAGGTGGGGGAAGGAGGATTGTGAGCTTGAGGCCACCCTCAGCCTCGGCTACCTAGTGTGACATTATCACATTATTGAGAGAGAGGTGGGGCGACAGAAAGAGACAGAGAGAGAGCACTAATGCAAAGGAATGTCTAAAAGTCTTTGTTAAGAAAGAAAATTAGTTACAAAACAGTATCGTATTCATTTGTGTAGAACAAAATTTTAGAAAGCTCCACAGCAGCAGGAACTTCTATCAGTTTTATTTTGTGGGATCCCCAGTTCCTAAGAGTTCCAAAGAGTAGGCACTGAATGAATATGCGTATACTTGCATGTCTATGCTTGTATCTATACAACCATATTTAGATGGCTACACAAGAAAATGTTTATAGTGCCCATTATAACTGCTTAGGCTGGTGTTGGAGACACCATTCATCCCCTGATGCAAATTTGGGTTATTTCTGTCTTTATGTATTGTGAATAATGTTACTATGAACATGGATATACAAATAGCTGAGCCCCTGCTTTCAATTATTTTGGATATATACTGTTGGGAAACTTTCATTTTTATTTTATTTTATTTTTTGCCATACTGGAGTTTGAACTCAAGGCCTCGTGCTTGCTAGGCAGGCACTCTGCCAGCCCTTTTATGTGTTATGTTTTCAAAATAGGTTCTCTCACAAACTATTTGCCTGGACTGGCTTTGAACCACAATTTTCCTGATATCTGCCTAGGAGTATAGGCATAAGCAACCAATGCCTGGCAACCTTAATATTTTGTTTTGTTTCTTTTCTTTTTTGCAGTTCTGGGGATCCAACCCCGGGCCTCAAGCAGGCTAGACAAGCACTCTAGCACTGAGACACATCCCTTATGTTTTAATTTTCACTTTATAACACCCTGTATTACTTGGCTTTTTCTTTTTTGCCATGAACACGTTTTCTTTAGAATACAAATTAATGTAAAGTATAGTAGCCAAATCATACTTGTCCTTCTTGAAAGAAGTTATCTTTGTACCTTGAGTTCCTTTGTTTCTTGAGTTCTTTCTTCCTTCTACTGTTGGTCAAAATCAAGTTCTGTGTCCTCCAAAGTATCACTGTCTACTAGATTCATCCCTTAATTGTGGCCCACAGTGTTTTTTGTTTATGATTTGACCATTTCACCTATGAGTTCTCTGGCCTGGGATGTTATCTAGATCCTTTTACCTCTTTCAAATTTACCACTTTGTAAAATACCAATTTAAGGACATAAAAGCAATGGTTTGGGCTTTTGTTGTTGTATCTTATTCCAATGAAAAATTTAACAGTTTTTTTTTTTGGCCTTACTAGTAGATTTAGACATGCTTAGGCCACCTCAGCTTGCCATACCCTGCATTCTTATCGTATCCCCCAACACTGAGGTATGAGTCAGAGACTTATCACTGTTTTTATGATTTTTAAATTAGAGAAGTATCTTTCTATACCCCTATCTCTACCAAAAGTGGAAACTTAAATGACAGGCACACATAATTCTTGTATGTGCTCTTATTTCTGATCTAATCTCTCCATGCCTCAGTTTAATCAAATATAAAAATGGGAATTAGAATAGCTCTCTTGTTCTTAAAGGTCACACAGATTAAAAGCCAAATACAAGGGAGTTAAGTAACTTGTCAGGAGCATGCATTAAGAAAAGTGGTTGAGCAAAGATTCACAAGCAAACAAGATTCCACAGCCCCCACCCTCAACCACTACTGTATATTGCCTACCTTGAAGAACAAAAACTGAACTCTGACTGGTAAAGTGAACTTATCTGATGGACAAGTGAAGAAATTCTCAGCCTTGGTAGGATAACTCAAAAAAGTCTAGATAAGAATGAATGAAAGAGCACAGGAGAAAAACGAAGCAGCCTTTACTAGAGTAAATTGAGGGGGCAGGATAGAACTGCCTGAAATTATAAAATTCTTACAATGGATTACCTACAATATATAAAGAATTCCTACAAGCAGTGTTTAAAACTCCAAGAGTAAAAGAGGCAAAGAATATGACAATTCACAGAAGAAGAGACCCAAATAGCAAATAAGAGCTCTCAAGCTTTATAGTAATGGGGGAAGAACACACAATGTAGACATCATTTCATACAGTGGCATAAGGAAATGTACAAGAATGTTCACTATATCACTACTCATAATAGAAAAATTGTAGACAAAATAAACATCTAATCCAATTTTTAATAAATAAATTCCACTGGAATACAAATACAAAAAAAAAAAGAGAAGGAGAAGAAGAAAAAAGAAAAAAGGGTATGCATGTAAATGGCTGTAGTTCTTTTATCTAAGGTAAAAAAGTGAACTAGAGACGTGTACTAACGTGAATAAATCTTGAAAACCTAGTGGATGAGTAATAAGAGCTTCAGAAAGACATGAACAGGCTGGATGTGGTGGTACATGCCTGTAATGCCAGTACTTTGTAAGACTGAAGCAGAGGATTATGAGTTTAAAGTCAGTCTGGCTTACACAGTGATACCCTGCACTAAAAAGTAGTAGGACAAGGAGGAGGAGGAGGAGTGATTACAGTAGTTTCAGGATATAAGATTGCAAGGTTAATATACAAAAGTCAATCATTTTCTTACATACCAGCAATAAACAAGTAGAATTTGAAATTAAGAACATATTACCATTTGCATTAGCATCTAAAAAATGAAATACTTAGGCATAAATTTAACAAAATACATACAAGATCTATATAAGAAAAACTACAAAACTAACACAATCAATGAAGAATTAAGTAAATGGAGAGATATTTCCTGTTCATGGATAGAAAGGCTAAACTTTGTGGGGGTTTTTTGTTTTGTTTTTGAGGTACTGGGGTTTGAACTCAGGGTCTATACCTTGAGCCACTCTGCTAGCCCTTTTTATTGTGGTGGGTTTTTTTGAGACAGGGTCACTTGGAACTACTATTTGCCCAGGCTGGCTTCGAACTGAGATTCTCCTGATCACTGCCTCCTGAGTAGCAAGAATTACAGGTGTGTGCCACCAGTACCCAGTGCAACTAAGTATTTTTAAGATGTCAGTTTTTCCTAACTTGATCTATGATTTTGATACAATCCAAATCAAATTCCTAGCAGGTTATTTTGGGGATTCTGATAAAGTGAGTCTCAAGTTTTCTTGTTTTTGTTTTATATATATATACATATATATGTGTTTTCAAGATTTATTCATGTTAGTACACATGTCTCTAGTTCATTTTTTTAACCTTAGATAAAAGAACTATAGCCGTTTACATGTATACACTTTTTTCTTTTTCGTCTTTTTTGTTGGTTTTTTTGGTGATACAGGGGCTTGAGCACAAGGCCTCATGCTTCCTAGGCAGATGCTCTACCACTTGAGCCATTCTGCCAGCCTGTGTGGACAGCAAACGCACAGAACAGTCAACAGGATATTGAAGGATAAGAGCAAACAAAGTTGGGCCAATGCTACCTGACTTCAAGACTTACCATAAAGATACAGAAACCAAAGCAGTGTGATACTGGCAAAGGGACAAACATCAATGGAACAGAATGAAGAGGCTGGAAATAGAGCCACAGCTGATCTTTGACAAAGGAGCAAAGATGGTCTTTTTTGTTTGTTGTTTTTAATGGGACTGGGGTTTGAACTCAGGGCTTTACCTGAGCAAAGCAGGTGCTCTACCGCTTGAGCCACTCCTTCCAGTCTATTTTGCTTTGGTTATTTTGGAGACAGGCTCTTTTGAACTATTTGAGCTGGCTTAAATCGTGATCCTCCATATCTCAGCCTCCCAAGTAGCTAGACTTTGAACATATGCTGTTGGAATAACTGAACATCCACATGCAAAAATAGTAATAAATTTAAACATAAAACTTACACCTTCTATAAAAATTAACTCAAAATGCATCATAGTACCAAATGTAAAGCACAACCCATAAAACTCCTAGAAGACAACACAGGAGAAAATCCAGA